CATGCTTCATCAGTTGAACATTATGGTGTAATGAATGACAGACCAAATACTCCAGCACCTAAACAAGAAAATAGTGAAGTAGAGGATATCATCGATTTGTATAGAGAAATTTCTGATGATGATAACTAATCACGCTTCTTCACTTTTACCATATCCGCAGTATAATCTTTATCACTATTAGACGATTCAGAGTCGGACCCAGATGAAGATGCTGTATCAATTAAAAATCTCTTTTTCTTTTAGCCACACATGGGATGTGTTGCCGAATATTATCTGAGTTTGTTATCGAGTTTATAATATCTTGCTGAATCTCGGGTTTTACTATCTCCAGTAATCGGTGAAGGGAGATCCAGATTTTTTTACCCGATACTTGTTTAACAATACTGGATACCACCCCATAATTCTGATCCTTGACCCACAAATGATTGGATGTATCGTCGGATATAATTGGCCACGACTACTATCTAACATACATTATATCGCATGTGGTCTGATATACAAATGCGCCACCTTGGTGTGTGTCATAAAAAGCAAAATGCACGTCACTTGAGCGTAGTCTAAAATGCAAAATGCACATCATACTGGCGTATATCTCAGCGGTTCTCAAGTGACGATACAAATGCAACCTATATAGCACCGTCTTATCTTTGTGTCGTCATCCATTTTTCTTGACACGTTGATGTGTGTCGTCATCCATTTTCTTGACACATTACCTGAAACTATAATAGTCTAATCTAAGTCGTTTTTTGTTTATATAAACAAAAAACGACTAATGCGATTATGTCGTATCCATTTTTGAGGCAAAGTTACTGTTTATTTTGCTAATCTGTTAGTGTTGGCTTAATTAATTTCAACAGATTCTCAAATAAATACTTTATACCCCACTCTTATCTTGTGGTAGGGTTCTGCATGCAGAGACGGGAGGAATGGTAAAATTTACACCAATTCAGCAACGACCATGCTCAAGATCGCAATCTTATTGGTTAAGCATTGCATATTTATTGCATATTATCAAAATGGATGGATCACGTGCCAACGTCTTTGCTGATGGTGACGTCAGTGTGAACGCTCGAAAAATGTATGTCGCGATGCATTCCAACGTGTAAATCGTTAAAATGGATGGCAGCCGCTGTTGGTTGCAATGTTCACACCTTTTTCCAGGTAAAAAGTTTTTTTTAAAGTACTATTTTCCCCCTAAATAGCTAGAAACCAACTCTTTTCGAAAATAAATTGGTTTGGCTTCTTATCCTGAGAAGATGACAAGCCGTCGTCAACTAACCGTTTTTGAATCTGGAATTAGTGTCAGATCAGACTTACTAAAAGTGTCTGAACTATTTAGCAGCATGTTATTAATAGTTTATGTGAAAAAACTTTACAAATATTACAGCTCTTGGAGACCAACACTTTGTCTGTTTGGAAAGAGTGCATTATGCGTCAAATCATAATATTCTCATGAAAAAATTACTCTTCTTACATAAACACGGTTACATTGGCTACAGGACAAAGAAAACTATTATCTGGTTAAAAGACAACTAAAATTATGTCAGACATGCAAGTCCTGGAATGAAGATATCTTGTTCTTGATCTTTTTTCCTTCAGTTACTTTTGAACCATCAACTAAATCACTCTTGACTTTTCTTTGATAAATCAAGTGGGTTTTCTGTCAATTTTGCAGAAATTGGAGAAAACATTCTATCTTGCCTGGCTTCCACATGAGTAGTTTGAGTGCACCTGATTTAAGATTTCATTGATTTCACTCACAACATTTTTACAAAATGGTTAAGGTTGTATTAACTTTGAGTGGGAAGATTACAGTGATTATTAAATATATTGTCACCAGCCCACCCAGTGGTTTTATATTGGTTGGCTCACTTACCATAAGCACCGGGTTGTTCTACGATAACGTGAATGTGTTTTTTGGGCGGGGTTGAAAAACACGAGAATAAGCACCGACATGTATACCCCCCTCTTCGTACGCGATATCCTGCGGCAAGTTTGAACTCCAATTTTGATTTATACTCGGGTAGTTATGGCACATGTATATCCTTGTGTCTTGTACCCTCTTCTCACTTGCCAATAAAAACAGCGAATTAAGATTTAACACTAAAATGCACAAACTTTATTTGATAAAAACGACAGAAATCTGATTATTCCCAAATATTATCATCTCGCAATTCATAATCAAAAACATATTGTCATCATTTTAACTGAGGCTGGCAAAGTATTTTATCCTTTTTGTGTCAAGACATTCTGATGCAAGATCTGATTCCGGAACATGATATCTTTAGTTTAAGTACATTGATGTAATGTTAGTATGCATTTATAAATATCTAAACATGGACAGTTTAGAACTTGTTATTATTATCAAACTAGTACATTGCTATTGACTTTACTCATTACTGTTAAATGATGAAATTATATATAGCAATATCTGTATTTGAAAAATGTAAACATATTACTTGAGTAACGAATTTCGAATTATTTCATTTGAAAAATAATGGCCAGCAATACTTTTAACGTAAACTTGCGAAAAGTATGGCATCGTCTCCACTATAGTCTAACAATAATTTGTTAAAAATGTAGTAAGCCAGGACTTTTGATTACAAGCGATATAAAATTTACTAAACCCACACTTGGACGCGAACGTCTAGAATGGAAAGAAGAAATTTGATATTTTTTATTCCATAGTCTACCCAGGATACTTATGGGAAGGACCGCAAATCTTTACCAACGAACTACTTATCATTGTGGTTCAAAATTAATAAGTGTAGAGAAATCCCTACGATGCGTAATACTATATTTATAATGTTTCGAGTGGTATGAGTTTTACAGGATGATTTGATTACGTAAATCTGTCGACTTTTGTAGATTTATTACCTGTGCAACTACGGCGCGATTGGTTTTGAGCGCTGACAGCCATAATTAATCATAAGCTCTTATCGTTTCTAAACATGTTCGAAAAAAAGTTCGTGGACGTACTACATTGGCATGTGAAATCAGAGATCCTCTGCGTATCAAAACTAACTTGAATGAATGCCATGATAATAATTACATTGTCGTTTTTATTAAGATTATACATCATTGTTATTTCAAAATTGGACTATACTAAATATTTAATTTACGTTCGCCTGTTTCGCTAGCGTGTTGTTTATCATTCGCCAAGAAAGTAATCCTTTGATGTTTGACTACTTTTGACATGAAAGCTTCTAGAATTTCGAAATCGCCATCTCTTACGTTAAAACATCTATCAAACATTAACTCTTTCATGTATGCAAAATGACCAACCCACGAAAGCAATGGATACGTATTAAAACTGCAGAATCCAAAGCTTATTTTTACTAAAGTTTGTAACTGCGTCTCTAATGCCGCTATAATTTTATCTATATCCACATCACCCTGCCACACTTCGAACTCTTTCAATCCTGCCTTTTGGACTAATATCACATTTGCTATTAGCCGTGCATTATTTTTCATTGATTCCGGATCGCAAATCGTGAATTCGACCGTGAAGGAATTAAGAGACTTTTGATGTTGTGAGATTAGCGAGAGAATGTTGGCAGCCATGGCAGGCGGATGGTAGAGCGAGAGTTCAAGGTGTAATCTCCGGAGATGTGTGCATCGTTGAGCGAATGTTCGCATTAGACTTAACCAAATCACTCGAACCGTGTCTTGATAGTTGAATCCGGCTGTATTTTGGAACCAGACAGATACGGCATAATATACGAAACTATCATCTAGATCTTCGAGATAGGATGGATAGTCGAATAAAGGCGCTATGGAAATAAGCGGGAATATCTTGTGTTCGGCCAAGGTTATCTTGTCAGAGTCTGATAAACAAGAGAGATAGACTGATATTAGATGCGGATACACTATCCAGGCTCTATCTCGTAGTAGTTCAAATGGCCTTCGCCAGAGGACTTGTACAGCTATCCTGCAAATTTGACGGTCTAAAAGTAGACAAGAATGCAATGTTCTGTATTCATTGTCCAGCTGTTCTAGTATGTTTATCATTATATCTGTGTGAAGTTTTGGAGACATTTCTGTATATTTAAAAACGGTGGAGGGGCAACCGGGCCTATAGTTTCTTTTTCGAGAGAAATTGTTAACACTAAATCCACATCCCAAATGAACCCTTTTATGAGCGTGATTTTATTCAGTTTGTTGGATAGAAAATGTAGCAGCAGCATCGCAACCTTCCTTGTTGACTCACTCGGATGTTCTGCAATGTTATCGTTATGGACATGATATTAGGAGTATCACTATTACAATATTCGTGTTACGGTTGTCCCACCGCGTGAAATGATGTTAATGGACAAAAAAGGTGTCTTATTCGCCTAAGGTGGTATGACAATATACAGTACATGATCGCCTTCGCCACACGTTTCAAATGCACGCTTTATTATTATGTTACTTGTTCGTTTAATTAAAGCTATAAACTGTTTCAATGTTGATATATGATGAAAGTGGGCTTAATTTGAGTCTCTCTCTTTTTCTAAAGGGAATGTGACTCACGTTCACAAAAAGTTTTTTGACGATCAACTCGTAGATGCCAGTTCTCGTAATCTACACGTGCAAGTAATTTTGTCAATTATGAAGTCTTATTATTATGATTTGCTAGATGCCTGGTATCAGTGATCAATGCAAATAAATGTGTGATTAAAGTAAATTAACAAACTATCACGTATACACATATAAATGTATACCGCGCTTGGTTATATTTGTTCGTATCTCTGTGCGAAATAACGTTCGATTTGCTCATGCCCAAACTGTCACAATAATGCGCTCAACTTCGATATCCCGAACTGCACATAGATCATACCCCCACTTTCAAGATACTTGAGTGACGTGTTTGATTATCCGCCATGTTACCAAAACCAATGCACGCACTTTTAAAATGAGTTTCGAATGATGGCGGTTTGTATTCTCGGGCTTTAATCTATAGAAAAGGAGAAGCGAATTAAGTAGAAAAACATAACCAAGACAAACTCATAAAACTGGACACGAGAATTACCGTAATGTACGATGTAATAATTTCTATAACATCTTGTAGTAAGCAAGTGTCCTGACGTCTGAAGCTATTATTAGGCTCCAAACCGATCATTTGTACTTTTGCGTAGACTTTAGCACTACCTGAATCTACGATATCATCACGTAGCAATTGCAGTTACCAATTTACTGATGTTCCACATGACATCACCATGCATACCGAAGGGTAAATATTGAATGACATACCGAAGGGTAAATATTGAAATGAGTTTCAACAAATACAAATGCCAAACAAATATAATTCTCTATACTTAATTCAAATGAATGTAATTACGAAATTGGGGAGAAAAGTTTAAACGATTATAAATACATGTCAATCAGCCTATAGAACATATTGATACGCGAAATACAATAATTGTATAATACTGTTTGACAAGTTTGCTTTTCTAGATTTTTACAAAATAACGAGTTATTTATACTAAGTACTCGTTTTTGCATCTAAACTTATTAATAATTATTTGTTTTCAAACGTTATTGCTTGTTTTTTCTTATAGCCGCTATTTTACAACAAATTGCGATAAGTTTTGAAAACAAAAGAAAAAAACAAAGGAGAGAAGCTTTCTCGCCTTTAAAACATTTTACAAGTTTCAAATAATTTTCACTTATCCTGACCTCTAAAGGGGCATTTGATAATAACATTGCTTATTTCAACAATATCTTTTTTTTTGTCTTATTAATTGCATCCTTATATTGAAACTTTGTGTTTGTTAATGTTCTCTTGATTGTTTTCTAAAATCTACATAAATAACGTTAGATAAGCACAAAACAGAACGTTACTTTGGAAAAGTCTCTGGCGCCGTAGCCGCGGCGTTTGTTTAACACATAACAGCACTTTCCATGCAAAGAATAAAAGCCTTGGATTTCCAAAAAAGGCGCAAAAAAAATTGCGGAAAACAAATTATATAAAAAAAAGTTTGGTGTGTTTTGACAGCAAATGTTTTTCTGTATTTGACATAAAACGATCGGTGCCCAACATGTTTTATTTAAGAAGTTGATTAAACTGTTGTTCTTTATGCTTTGCGGCGGACAAAACGCTCAGTTGTTTGATTTTTTATAAAGTAAATTATTTCACTTCTCTATTTTAGTTTTCATATTCTCGAGTCAACAATCGTAGATCGCTGACCGTGATGACCTGTAAACTGCTTGCGATCTTGTGTCGATCCAGTAGAGTAACTTTCTGGTGGGATTATTCCGGGGATGCTTATAGTTGTGGTATGCTTGTATCTATCTAAAACGCGTTTTTATTTAAAGCAAATATCAATCGTAACGCTATTGGATAAGAAACGGATATTTCTGATTTTTTGTATTCACAATTATCGATTGTTATCAGGGAACTAATCATTAATAATGTATTTTATAGTATAGTAAGAGTTTTACACAGAAAAAATTCTCGTATTCAATTTCTCGAAAGCTCCTCACCTATTAAAAAAAAAAATATAATCCAACTTAGCGAAAAGTTGCGCTTTTTATAAGCGACTATTACCTTGAAACGCAGAATGTAAAGAAGAATACGTCATTATTAAATACTTTGTATCGGAGTTATATTTTTCCTTCTCTTTAAACCTTAATTTTTTATAATATATTAGCAATACTTATTTATTACTATGAGATAAATTGGTAATAAAGTTGCATGTGAAATTGTCAAGACCATACTTTCGTACTTGGTCAGATTGGGATATCTGCGCAACAAATTTTACTGCTTTCGGTATTCCTTAATATTAATGTCCAAGTAGATACCATTGTGAAGAACGATATATCAGAGATTCTAAGAATTAACGAAAGATCTATTGCAGAGTTTAAGAATGTTGAATAGTCCAGAAGACCGATTTATTTCGAAGATATATAGCTATGATTTCGGTCGCAATCGCACCACGTCCAGAAACAGTTGCCCAAAAAATACGGTTTGTTGTACAGTGTTTTGACAAGAATAAGAACGCTGAAATTATAAGTAAAGAGTGTAAACTGCCCTCTGATGTAAAGGAAGAATTAGATGCAAAGAGTATGTACGAATGTTAAGAGATCCGGAAGATGATATCATATTCGTTGAAATTTCTACGGGCCGAAAACAGATTCCAAACCCGAAACAATTGTCATGATATAGGAACAAACTAATAATCACATGCAAATATACCTTCTGTTTTCTGATATTTCACCGTTACTGTAAAAAGCGTATGACCATAATTTGTGTCAAATTATTTATTATAGAAATTTTGGTAGTGAAGCTGTTTGATTTTTCAAAATGTGGAGCGTTGCAAAAACAATTTAAGCATACCACAGCCAACAATCCATTAATTAATTATATAGTATTGATATTTGTTAATTAAAGAAAGCAAATAGTTAATTGTGTTTTTCGGAAAAAAAAAATAGTAATAGTGAAAAAAATTGATAAAGTTCTTGGAGTTAGTGTTATGCTTATTTACAAATAGAGTATTTGAATAAACTTGTCACTAAACGTGTTAAAATTTGTACATCAAGTCTAAAAAACATATAACTCAGTTATAGTTAGAACAATATTCGAGTCAACAATGTATAGAACAGGATTTTTTGATGATATTTGTAAGTTATATATGAAGATAATAGTAGCCTTGATAAGATACACTTTATATCATTCATTATAAAATAGGATAAGCACAGCGCGCTCTTACATTTTAGTTGAAAATTTTGTCAACAGTAATAGTAATGTAGCGGGTATGCTTGAAGAATGTGTCGATTTTTTGTTGTAATGTAAAACTTTGTTGTTAATTACGGTTACCCGCCAAAGCATATATGCTAGACACAATAAAGAGTTTTGCTAGGACGCATGAGAGGAATATAATATATACTAATGCTAATATTGGGATCGTTATTATTATAACGAGAATACGTGAAGTCGTACAATTTACAATCACAGACTACGTATGCGTTTTGGACAAATAGAAAGACTGCAATTTATGAAACCCAATTAACATGCATAGTATGAAAATCATTGTATGAATGCTTGTTAGGGTATACCGATAATGGTAATTCGGTCATATCACTATATCTAGCGAGTTGAGCGGGACCACATGTATCTTGACGACCACACATTAGACCATTGACTATGGGAAGTATGGATTCCAAAGATATAGGTTAAAGGCTAACTGCGTTTATTGGGTATAGTAAAAAGTCGAATCTTCTTCGCAGTCAGTAGTAGCATTACCGCGTTACTGCCAGAAAGGTTGGGTACCAGTATTATAACGTAACTAAGGATGCAAGCGTATGCAAGAAAGAATATGGTTCGATCGATCGACAAGATAAGGGATATGCCAACCCAATTATATATAATCACTTGGAAGTAATTCTAATAACGTCATTTAGCAGTATATAATGACAATAACAACTAAACCTCCTTCATTCGAGTCGCTACAACAACGTTTTAATGCCTGATTATGAATCTTCCAATTGAGATTCTCTCTGATATATTCAAATGTCTATTATACGATTTCTATGACTTATCGTCTTTACACTCATGTGTTCTCGTTAACAGAACATGGTGTCAAGAGGCAGTTCGGTGGCTTTACAAGAATCCTTTCGGTTACTATGCTTGTGATTGTGACGCGCAACTTCTTACGTTATATATTTCCTATCTTCCAAAGGAAACACAAAAGTTGTTTGAATTCACACACCTTGAGTTTGACAATCCGGCAAACTTGCTGTTCAATTATCCCGCGTACATTGAACACATCGATGATTCTCTGATATTCCACAAGTTAGACTCGTTCATTCAGGCGTACAATGGACAAGCCACCATATATCAAAAGGCGTTTGACGCTATTCTGAGGATGCTGTTAACGAGAGCATCGAAACTAACGTATTGTCGCATCACCACTGGCATCTCCACCAAATGCTTCTCCACGTTTAAAGAACAACTTCATCACGTACAGATCCTCCATCTATTTCTAGTGTCTGATACAAAGAGTGACAGAAAATCGCTCGAGCAATTGACAGACATTATTTCATCTCCAAAGGGACTAATCGAGTTCGAGTTGATTTCACATTATCCTACCCTTTCCAACCGTATACTATACGCATTGGAGAGCCAGTGTGACTCTTTGAGAGTACTTTTATTAAGATCTATAATATTTTCTGCGTTTCCATTGCTGGATTGGATAAGTAAATTTCACCTTCTCAATGAAGTTTATTTCGATTTTTGTGAGGACATGGGTGATGACGTCATCACATATCTTGAGAAAAAATCAGTCTCGGTATCAAAGGCTGACTCTCAAGAGATGACAAACAATATATAGCGCTTCCGATTCATTTGTAAATAGTGGTTTCCATTCTGTTACTTGTTCCTTCATGATATTATTGTTTATTGTGCAACAATGCATACAATTAATAAATAGAATATATCGTATGAAAGTCTAAAGTATGATGCTCATTATATATATAAAGTTCATTGAATAGCTAACGGTCAGTTAGCATGATCTAACTAGTAAATGATAAACATCTCTTCCCTGCCTTCTCAACCGATGAGCCGACGTATTTGCTTCAACTAATTCAACTGTTATGTTTCTAGGTATGAAGAAACTCCGATTCCATCTGGATATGTAATCGCGCACTTTGGCAACAGTGATTGCTATCTGCTCCTTATCAGCTATACACTTAACCAGGATATTCCAACCCAGGCGAACGAGTTTTCTACGACCGAGAATCGGAAGTTCTGTAATTGTGCGCATTCCAACAACAGAGTTCAACCCGTCGATAAAACTATTCCAATCCGATGGGTTGATATCGTGTAATGCGAGTTCAGACGAAGGATATGCTTCTTTAAATCCGCTGAGTAGAAAATGTCCTTTCTTTGTTGATACACGGCAGTTGCGAGATAACTGTCTTCGCCGAAAAGTCCGAGGAACAGGGCGTCTCCATGTTGAGATCCGCTTAGTACATGCTTTATCGACGGGTGATGATGTCAGCTTGCCGAATATATTTCTCACGGAAAGTCCTCCATGGTGATTCCCATCGTGGCTGATATGCCAGTCATCTGTGGATATATATTCACCATAAGAAGGTAGCTGATTACTTTCCTCAACAGGCGCTGTCAACACAGCTTCCTCATACGGTGGAGGAGCATCATCTTCAGTAGGAAATGCCTGTATCGGTTGATCCTCTTCTCTCCTAGTATTGATCGATGATCCGGTATTTGCCATCTCTGCCAACTTATTGGCTACCCGTTGAGTATGATTTGAAGTTTCTTGTTCTAGGCATGACCGGATAAAGTTAGAACTGTAATTTGGAAACATGCGCTGGAGTGCTGTGGTCTGCTTCTCTAACTCGTGACGCGAAAGGTGCGAACGCCCCGGGTGAGAATATTCACGAGAAAATGCAGTAGATGCAGAATGGAGGGAGTTGTGAGGAGAGTTCCAATTGTTAGCCCAGGTGGTCAAAGCCCATTCGGAAAGGGCATCGTGAACGTTGTAGCGGCAATTATAATGGTTGTTACAATGTCTGCGTCTGCACATGGTTGTGTGTTAAGGAGAGATATATGTTTATATTATGTGATGTGGGGCTATCTCCTCAAGAGAGTGGTTCTCTTTTGTAATATTTCGTCGGGATTTTTTGGATGATGGTTTTTTTTCGATGAGAATTCCTTCATTATTTATATTATTAGGTCCACTGCGCTAGAAACTTCCGAGATTCTGTAGAGAAAGATAGCTAATTCCATAATTACCCATAATTAGTAGTGTATAAAGAGAGTCTAAACTAATAGAATAGTAACACGAACATCACGAGTTCTGCAGGCAAAACAGCAAATAGAACGAGTCCAGGCAACATCCATGATTTCTTGTTCATGTAACGTAATCTTGGATATTGTTACACGCCAGTATAATACCCCATTATGCAAAATGACATAAAATTACAAAAGCGCAGTGACGATTTGAAATCAAACAGGTTTATTGGGGTGTCACTGCATCTAACCACCGAACCTTGCTCTCAAACTGGTTTGAGAACGTCAATGTCCCCCCAGGATTTACAATAAACTATATAAATTATTGAATTGAAACTCGTTTTCAAGGAAATTTCTTTTTTTTTTTTGCCTTCACGATCAGTCCACTGGTCGCATGATCGTCATCGACGTTAGGGCTTTTCACATTTACGTCACATCATCGGCACTCAATTTTCCCAAGTATTTAATACTACAAACCTTTTTTCCTCCGGAAATTACTCTTTTGGGTTTAAACATATCCAAAGTCGTTCATATAAAAAAAACCACCGACAAACAAGTCTTCAACTGTGTTTTATTCCCCAGAAAACCGATAACAGAAGTTTTATGTTAACAATGAGTAGCGAAACTACTCCAAGTCTGTACGACATATATTCGTTCTTCCATTCTCTGCGCACCTCGCTACCAGACTACAACGACTTTTCCGATTTGGTGGGCACCCTGTTCATTCCTCACGATGTGATGCCCGTCTCCGAAACACTCGCAAACGTACTTCCCTACTTTCGCCGTTGTTCCAACCCATCCCTGTTTACGACTTTCCAAATAATGATGCGCCATGCCGAACAAAACGCATCATTTGAAAGTACTTTTTTGCGTGTCTGTGACGCCATGGATATTTTGGAAAAGATTGAATATGCTCTCGGGGGAAACAGGAGACTGCTTGAAGGATATTTGCACGCATTGCAATTGGACAACGCCTCGGCTAGCCACGAGCAAGTGATGAATAGTTTGCAAAGATTTTTGACTGAAAAATGTGATGCAAACACGCAATTGAGAGTAAGAAAGGTTTTTGCTGAAGAAGGGGCGGCTGATGAACTTGGTGAGTTGGGGCGTGCGGGTTATGGTATTTAGTAGTTTATCGATGATATTTTCGATGGCGGTAAGACAACTAATGGGGAACCATGCAAACCTTTTTCTTTTACCACTTGTTAAAATAGGTCTAAGCGGTGGTATTCTAGCTATAGCGTCAGCTATTATAGATGATGATGCCCTCTATATCCAAATACTTCAGACGCTTCAACTTAATCATCGCCAGAATCTCTCGTGGGAGGCTGTAATTTCTCGTATCCAAAAAATCGTACAAGAGAAGAAACCAGCCGTATGGTCCGAGTTCTATGCTTTCCTGGACAGTCTGCATACTGGCAACATCTATGACTATAACAGTGGTATGTAATGCATCGATTGCGTCACTTGTGTGAATGCGTTTGATGTCATAGATATACGCATATATAATAGAGTTAAAAATAGAAGAGAAAAATAAATAAATTAAGTTATATTCACGTGGTATCATAATTAAGAGTAATCTTATCCCTTCCCGTTGTGAAAAGGTGATGTGTACACCTCAGAAGATTACAATGAATACTTAAACGACATGGACGACGACGACGACGTCACTTATGCTACCTTCTGCGAACAATATCTTGACGATCAGCCCACCGTTGGGGATCAGAATAACGTATATTATATTGAAGACAAACTTGCCAAGGTTCGTTTGGATAACGATGAGGATAACGTTGATAAAGAGCAACAACCCCAGCAGAGAGAGATAGGCGCTTTTTAGAGGAGTGTAGAAGGATTCGGTTTGCCTATGAATGGGTAAGTGTTGGACTTGGAGTTTGTTGTTATGAACTGGATAGATGAGGAGAATGCTTACCATGTTTATTGCTTCCTACTGATAGACTCATTTTATCGCCTTGATACCCCCATTTTCTTTTTTTTCTTTCTTCCTTCTTACGCAGTATATATACGTATAAATATAAAAAATGTAAAAATTTATAAAAGCCTTACAATGTAACATTTTATATATATTTTCTAGGTAGATTAGCTTTTTCTTCCTGCATCTTCAATGTTGTGGGTATGCTTAGAATAGTATTACTGTTTTGCTGGTCGATAGCTTTCCGGCGAGTGCTTCTAGCATTGGTTACGTTTCTTTGTCTATTAGTTGCTTGATTTCTTATATAAATGTATATAAAACCCGTTGCTTCCTTCACTAAAGGAATCAATACTTAGAAATGAATATATTTTGAGATGATTGTGCAATTCATGCTAGGTGTGGCCAACTTCTTTATTTTACCTCATGTCGTTTTGTCCGTCTCGAGCTAATACAGATCATGATGAGATGTTAACTGTTATAAGTAATCTATCAATCTCGAATCATGTATTAGTATTAACGTTCAGCAAAAAAAAAAAAGTGCCATCCAATATTGATTCAGCTCTTGTATATATTCGGTTAGGTATGGAATGTGCTACATGACGCAGGGTCTTCCAATAAAAAGTCTCACACCGTTTGAAATTCAGCCACAAAAAACATGGATATATTTTATTCGAATTTACGATCGGGCCCCGTACGCTTTCCTCGAGAAGTCACAGATATAGATGGGCATGTACATGATGTTGTAGAATTGTCAAAGGAATACACAATAGTGATCATTACTATTAAAGTGGGTGATGGCTCATAATATTGGGAAATGGACAATCCTTGATCTAGTTACAAGCATGACTTTCAATTCTCAATCCTCATTGCTATTCTAATTACTAGTCAACAAAATGTCCAGTGTGTCCAGAACTGCTCAAGTTACTGAACTTTCTTGGATTGCATGACACGCCGCCGTCTAAATTCGAGGATCCTTTCAGTTTTGTTACTTTGACAGTACCGCCGCACGAAGTCAAGGTGAGTTTATGCTACTACGGGTTAAAGTCATATTCGTGCTCCAAAATTCGGTTTACGCTGACATTTATCTACTTTCATCTAGTCGAATCGCATTTTACTGAGATTGGATGCCTATTTTATAATAGTATGCCCAGGTCCGGTCGGGGAAGTGCGACGTCTTCGCCAAAAGTGCGATTTTGAAGCTTATCCGTATCCATTTATAGCAGATGAAGATATGTCTTTGGCTACTCAAACCGGCTTGCGGTAAGTTTTTACTCACTGTTCTGCGTTATGGCGTCAAATCAGTATATACCGACTTTTTTACTCTTCACCTTTATTTCAAAGAATGTCAGAGACTGAAATGATTCCGGTTATCGCGTATGTAGAACCAGCATCACACAGGATCGGTCAGGTACAGTTCGGACGTAGTGGAGGAAGTTACGGACACGCCGAGCTGCTAATCTATTTGAAAAGAAAGAGATTTATGCTAGAGAATAAAGCGAGAAGGGCTGTAAAGGGAGCGGAGGAATTTATCCTAGCGCTAGAACGGGTTAGATCAGCAGAGAAGAGTAAACGAATGACTAGGAATGAAAAACGAAATTCGGAATCAAGTACACAAGAAGCAAAACCACAATTAAACATGCAATCTACACGACACGACACAAAAGAATTCTATGCCGGATCGGTATCCTTGCCGACAGAACTCCTCTTTGCCGTTTTCGATTACCTGCCTATGATGGAAATTGTCAGATCGGTTATCGCTACTTGTCACCAATGGAGGGCAATAGGGTTCGAAATGTTATCACAAAAATTGCGTCGACATACCAACGAAGTTTCCGAAGCATTGTCGTATCATGAGCGACAGGACTTGCATGTGAGGAGTGTCAGAAGGACTACTGTAGAGGCAAACGGAAGCAATAGTCCAGATGACGTTGTTAACAGTACTGAGTTAGATCGGAGGTTATCGCATTTGTTGGACATTATTGCTGCTGCCCGACAAGTAAATATAATAGATTGGAGTAGTTACGAGTTATTACGTTAATAGTTGGCTTTCAGCAAGGCATTATGTACATAGTCGATATTAACGATGATTCAGGTGGAGAAGAAATTGAAGGATTAACGAAAGATAGTATTAGGTGGGACATCTATATTAGCAATTCAATAAACAACATTGCGATGTCACTCTGTGATTGCTTGCATATTCTGTTATAATATTAAAGTATTTATAAGATTAGATGCTTTCCTCGACAATAGCTTCGGACATTGTGAATCACTCAATGTTCGCGAGGAAATAAATCCCAACAGACGCGAAAAAAAGATCTATCATCATCTGGTTAATGTGCCATCAGTTCCAAAATCGAATCCCGTTGCAAATAACGTTTATAGTTTAGCTTCGGATTTCCAGAAGCTATAACCAGATTGGTCGCAACTTTTTTCTTCTTATTATTATTTTATAGACGTAAATATTTGTGAACTATCTTGTTAATCCTGATTCTTGCATACCTGTTAGTGTAATTCGCAAAATCGGCGAGCAAAAAAAAGGTAACTTCAGCAGGACACATACAAAGCATCATCACGATATCAGCAACAGCTTGCCAATCAGGTGAAATTTTAACATGTATCACGTTTCCAAGTTCAGTATACTATTGTGTTCATTATTTTCTATATATGGATT